CCGGCACTACACCATTGCACCAACCCCCCGCGAGCGATGACGTGCACGGGCTGGCTCGAGTGGCCCGCTTTGTCTTGTGTTGTTCTGTTGTTTGTTGTCTGTCGCTTCGGCGTGTGTCTCTCTCCGTCTGTCTCTTTCTCCTCCTCTTTCCCTTCTCTGCATCTGCTCCTTCCCTTTCTTCTTTTTCTTCTTCGTTTTCGTTTTCTTTTTTTCTATCTTTTCCAATCTAGGGTACCTCGCATAGCGCGTGGAGGCGAGCGGAGTGGCCTGGACTATCTGCCGTTGGCTTTCATTGGCTTGCGGACGCTTCGGGTCCATTTTTTTTCGTGTACTTTTTTTGGGTAAGTTAGCCTGTGACCACGGGAATCGACCCCGTCAAGTGTTAGACTATGCATAGTACAACGGAACGCTCATACGCTGGATCTGCTCATGCTTTTTTTTTTGTGCGGATGATCATCCAGGTGATGTATTGTTGTGCGTGATTGGCGTCGTGGAATTATGGAGCTTCGCCATTTCTGGGGACTACGTACACCCGTACACATGGTTTAGAACGTCACCGCGCGGTGGTATTGCTGTAGTGCTACGCTGCCAACAGAATTACCATCATTACGGATCCTTCTCTACATTCAATGGGATACCGAACTCTGCCTTCTCAATGTTTTCAGACGAGCTCCTTCAACAACCAACGGGACCCAACACTCCAACAGGCGTAGGGAATCACTGTGAACGTATGGTTGAACTTTTCAGTAAAGATCACCTACCCCAGCAGCTTGTGAGGGTGGACTTCATTAATAATCCCACTGGCTCGCGTTGGTTCACAATGTGGGTCCGACGATAGCAAACGGAAGAGAACCCTGGTCTGACGAAAGCCCTAATCTATACAAACACAGCAACACGTACGAGTACTCGTTCTCAAGTCCCCGCATCGATTCGAGTGGCGTAGGGCGAGACAGATCGTGGGGTGAATAAAGGCTGAATTGCTTCTGAGGTCTAACTGTACTGGATCCACCCCGCCGAATCTGTCCCACTGCCGCCGGCCCACCGCCGCCGGTAGGGTAAAATTTTGCCCATGTCCCGTCAAATAGCGGCGGAACCTCGGAATTTGGCTCGAACTTTTCTCCCGCTGAATCCTCCTATCTCCCGCGTTGTGACACACGCACAGGTCCTCCTCCACACGCACACACATCCCGACACAAACCTACCAAGCAAACCAGCTTCAGCGATTCAACACCTCAATACTGACATCATCATGGCACCGATGAAGTTGACATACTTCGAATTTGTGAGTGTGCATCAAGCGGTTGGGGCAGCCTATCATACATCGAGCGATCTTCCGGCGCTGAGCGCGCGTTGTGTGTCCGTTCATGTTCCATCATAGGTTGTGCGTGTGGTTCTGCTTTGAAGGCCTCAAGCGTCATCAGACTGCTCATCCAGCTCTGACAACTTCCCTCGTACCCCGCCTTGGCGTCGTCACACTGCAGCAGTGCTGGCCCGCTCATCACAACATGCTCACAAATCGAGAGGCTACGAGTTTTAGTCTAAACGGCTAGACTACACGCGCATCACAGGTGTCAGAATTTGAAAACTTTTTGCCTTCTTCGCCGTCGGCACCGCAGAACTCGCACGCCACAGGAAGCAAATACCGTGCGCTTAATCGTTGAGAGATGGTAAAGGCTGTGAGCCTCGTGGAAGTAGGCATTTCGTAGGAGCGGGCTCTACTGAACTGGGAACAAAAGTTTGACTCAAGTTTGCAAGTGATGTTATCCAACGCCCGTTAAAAATCTTGTTGCCTGTGCGTGTGCCTCGCAGGCCGCCCTGGGCGAACCACTGAGACTAGCGCTGGCACAAAGCGGGGTTGAATGGATCGATAACAGGGTGTCGAGGGAGCAGTGGCCCACTCTCAAGCCGAGTGAGTCTGCTGAGGTAGTGCTGTTCTTTCGGTACAGCTGGAGGTTGTCTATTTTGTCGAAGTAGCTGCTGGAGCTCTGTCGTTGATTTCGGCTCCCGGGACGAAATGTTGCTATCGATCCGGAGATGCGCCGATATCCGTCCTCGTCAAAAGCCAAACGGCCTGTCAAATGTTGTTACTTGCACCTCCAGTCTCTTCTATTGCGGCCTGGAATACCAGCCAAAAGTAACAAGCAGCACATGACGGTGTTGAGAGGCAGCTTTTCATGGAGCCAGATCTCAACAGATTTTGTCTGGACCGCGGAAGCGCCAGGTTACATACAACACCTACGGTCTAGTCTACAGTAGTAGTAGTAGACTGCAGCAGCAGCAGCAGCAGTTAAATTTTTTTTGTCTTCACTTGTCTTCACTTCAAATCAGCCCTGACAGCACTACTGTTGTAGTGCCATTTACGCCAAACTGTGGTAACACAGAAAGGTTTACTCCGACCCACCCCTCCTGCGATACTCTGCCTTCGATTTTTAATGCGAGAAGAGTGCGGCACTCTCTTCCCTCTGTGTACACGCGAACTACTTGTATGTATGTTGTACGTGTAGCGGTCTCCACCCACCACAGGCCAGGAACGGAAGCGAGAGAATACTCACTTTGCAAAGATCTCCCTTACGTCGGGATTCGAACCCCTGATCCACCACTTGTTATGTAGAAGGTTTTCGAGGATACCACCTAGAGACTTCCAGGGCAAACATAACGCATGTTTTGTCTAGACTGCATGACTTCTCGGTTTTCACAAAAAAAGTTGTCGGATTAGATAGACTATCCGTTTCTTGCCAAACGTGCAACGTGAGAACAATTATGGCCATGCTGTTTCTCACAAGTGAAGTGACTTTCGCACAATTATAACCTACACACACGTGCCTCGCCTGCCGCGTGCTATTTTTTCTGCCGTGCTCAGCTCTGCCGTATCAACAGATGCCCGTGTTGGAGGTAGATGGAGCGGTCATCCCTCAGAGTGTCGCAATTCTCCGCTACGTGGGGAAGATGGGGAACTTGTACCCCAACGACCCCATCCAAGCCGCTTTCGCCGACAGTGCAGTTGACGCTGTGAGCGACATCCATGGCTACATGCGAGGTATCATTTTCGAGAAGGACGCGGACGCGAAGGTACGGCAGGCAGTATGGTGGAACAGGTTTCCATGTACCCCCCCCCCCCCCCCCCCCCCCCCCCCCCCCCCCCCCCCC